AATAGAGTTAAAGTTAGATTAAGTAATTCTTATAGTAAAATCGCATTTCCGACACTTTTACTTAGTGAACCAAGACTGGTTTAGATGGCGGCTTTTTATATTTTTTGTGTTTTTTTTCTTTGTTATCTCGCTTTGTTTTGTTTGGGCTAATCTGGATAATATATCGGGTAACCCCATGATGTACCTGGCTTTAAGCGACCCCAGAAATGACAGTTCTATGAACTAGCTACCTAAAAAAAAAAAATTCAGTTAATCATGCCAAAGACAAAAGAAACCACCAGTAACAATATTGTAACAGCAATACCACAGCAGGAAACAAGAAACGCAACTTAATTCCACTAATAGTAACTCTAGTAACACGACTCCATTCTACTAATGGCACTCTAGTAGCACGACTCCAGTAACAATAGCTCCAGTAATGGCGACTCCAAAAGGCTCTAACAACGATCTAAGAATGACACCTATAACGATGATTTTAACACTGCGATTCCAGTAATGATGATCCAAAAACAATTCGAATAACAATGCTCCAATAACGATGACACCAGGAACGACTTATGATCTATAAGTCTGAAAAAGAAAAATAAATAGAGTTAGTAAAATGTCTACACAGGCTAAAACAAAAAAAAGAAAATAAACAATGATCAGCATGGAAAATCACTGCTTATATTTTTTATATGTTGCACATGACCTGTGACAAAAAGGTCATGTAACAGGGGGCAATATAAATATTTATTTATAAAATATATAGTAAAATTTAAGAAAAATATTAACAGAAATTTGTAAAAAATACTAATAAAATTTTGTCTATATTACAATATGACTATTTATGATACAGTCAAACCCCTCTATAGTCACCTCCTCTATAGTTACAAAATTGGTATAATTATAAATTTATTTTTACCAATTATTTATAACAATATAGAAAATACCTCTATATTAGTTACACCTCTTTACAATCACTGTTTTTTGTATCCCAAAGGTGTGACTATAGAGGAGTTTGACTGTATTTTATATTTAATAAATATAGAAATTGATTTAAAGTCATAATAGTAATTTTTTACTTATCATATTTACTATACTATTATATAGTAAATATAACTAATTAATAATAATTAACAGTTTAATTATTATTTTTATATAGATTTGCAAGTTGTAACTACTATATAATTTTATTTTATTAAAAGACATTTAATAAAAAAGTATATAAAGTTAATATATTATCAATTTGTTAATTATATATTTGTTCGAACAAGATTCCTTTAATATAATATATTAAAGAAAGTTTATTCAAGCATATTTTTTAAAGATTGATCTTTAGTATAGATGGGCATATATAATTATTATACAATTATAATATATATAAATTATATATTTTGAACTAATTTAAGTAATTTTATAATTTATTAGGGTTAGGATTAAGGTTAGAATTTAAATTAGCTCAAATTAGTTAGATTTTATATATTATAATCTTGTAATAATTTATATATGCCTATCTATACTAAAGAAGACCCCTTTTAAATTGTAATACAGACAAATTTGTTTGTGTTTATTTTTTTAAACTCTAATTTTTAATAAAATTTTAAATATTAATTTTAGTAATATACTTTCTAAATAAAAAATATTTTTAAAGATCTATTTTATTAATTTTATTAAGAAAATTTTTTAGATTTTTTCAATCAACTCTTCTTGATGATCTCTTGGCACAATAATCAAAAAACCAAACTATAGAAAAATATTATAGAAGATGCTAAAGTAAATAATAAACTTGGTTCTACAGAAGTAAATGTGTTGTCAATGAAGTATCAAGAGTATAAAACCAGAAAGTAGTCTACTTTGAACTGGTTTTTATAGAGATCAAGCTTTAGTCAGTAGACTTCTTTATTATATTCGGCATCAAAACCAGAAGGATATTTTAAAAACATAGAATGACTAGATTAATACCAAAAGTATTCCAAACTTAGATTATCTATATAACCATAAAACTTATAAGGAATAACTACAGAAAAGTCTTGTTGGCCCATCACTTTTTTTGAATAAATTTTGTCAAAAAAGTAA